AAGTATGTCCTCCCTTTAAAAAAAAAAAACATCTTTTCCCTCTTTTAAACAAGAACTGACAAATGGACAATGCTTTCTGTGGCATTTCGAAAGCACATTTTTAAAAAAAGTTTGGGGGATACAGAAAAATCTCTGTAGAACATCGGCTCCTTTTGTAGTAGAGAAATCACAAAGTCAGACAGAAGCCAGGTAAAGGCATGCTTGAAGAATATAATTGCCCCTGCCGTTCACTGTTCTGGAGGCCGTTGTTCATTTCACTGGCGCAACTACTAGCATTAGAAACAGCGGGTGTCTCTGGGGCAGAGACAGGGTCCTGTGTGTGACCCAGATGTTTGGTGTGCTGTACCCTACAGGTGTATGCCATCTTAGTGAGCCACCCACCAGCTCCAAATGACCACTTGACACCAACTCCAGTGTCATACACAGCAGGGTTCTATCGGATTCCTGTCCTTGGGCTGACAACTCGCATGTCCATATATTCAGATAAGGTAACGAACTCATTATTATCCTGACGACTGTTATTATTACTGTTGATACTAGGGTGCATATATTAGGATAAGAGATAGAATATTCTCTCACGTCTTGTGTTGTAATTTAAATTCCTTGTTTCTTGTCCGTCCCCTAGGACAATTCTGAGCCCTCAAATTTACACAGCATTCCTTCAGATACTTGAAGACAACCATCGTGTCTCCCTGTAGTCTCCCCTTCTCCACGATAAACATACCAGCACCATCAACTTTTTTTTTATAAGTTTTTTTCCTTCCAAGCCCTCTGTCATCTTGGCTGTTGTCTTCTAGATCAGGGGTCACCAACCTTTTGGACCTCAGGGACCACCAAACTCATAATTTTAAATCCCACGGACCAGAGACCCTGGGAAAATCCCCCAAAAAGTCTGCAGGAAAATTCTCCACCCCATTTTCCTACCGATCGATTGTTCTTTATTTGGGATCCCAGCTCCGTTCTCAGGGGGAGAGAGAGAGAGAGAGACTTTTGGCTTCATGCAAGGAAAGCAGCAGAAGCAGCAGAAGTCTTTCTTTCTCTCCCCCAAACTCCACCAGAAATGAGTCTTTGCCGGCACAGCCTCTTGGAGCAGGAGGCCTTGCAGGGTCCCAAAGACTCATTTCTGGCAG